GAGAGAGAGAGACGCAGGCAGGCAGGCAGGCAGGCAGGCAGGCAGGCAGGCAGACAGGCAGGCAGGCAGAGGCAGGCAGAGGCAGGCAGGCAGGCAGGCAGGCAGGCAGGCAGACAGGAAGCCAAAGGCAGGCAGACAGGTAGGCAGGCAGGCAGACAGGCAGACAGACAGACAGACAGACAGACACCGACCAGCCAACCGATGGACCAACCAATCAACCGACTGACCAACCAACTGACCAACCTGCCGATGGACCGACGGACAAACAGACTGACCGACTGATCGACCAACTGACGGGGCGAGTGAGGACCTGAGTGACTGACAAGCTGACCGCCCGCAGAACCAACTTACCCACCGAGTGACTAACTGACCGACCGACTGACCGGAGGACTGACCGACGGATCGACAAACGGGCGGATGGGCAGACCAGCAGACCAACGGCCAGATGGATGGGCAGACAGATGGATGGATGGATGGACAGATGGACGACAGCCGGATGGACTGGCAGATGAACGGACGGACAAACGAACAGATCGACAAGTGGACGAGCCGATGGACCGACAGACCGGCGGACAGACTGCCTGACAACCCAACAGCCCGACAGCCTGACAGCCCGGTAGACAGACAGCCCGACGGACCGATGAACCAACGGACTGACTGATCGATGAAACAATGGACCGGCGGACCGGCAGACAAACAAACACAGCCGAATAGACAGACAAACGTCCCGACAGACTGACGGACCGATGAACTGACAGATCGGCAGACCGATAGACAAACAAACAGACAGACAGAGAGACAGACAGACAGGCAGGCAGACAGGCAGACAGGCAGACAGACAGACAGACAGACAGACAGACAGACAGACAGACAGACAGGGAGACAGACAATGGACAGAGCGACCAACCAACCGACATACCAACTGATCGACGGAAGGAAGGATGGAGGACAGGCGGACGGACCGACCGATTGGCTGACTGACAGACTAGCCAGCTGACCAACCGACGGATCAGCGGACTAACGGACTGACGGTCCAACAGACCAGCGAACAAACGGAGAGATAGACAGACAGGCAGACAAAGAGGGCTGGAGGGGGTAGCCCCTAACATTATAGCTGACAGGATTTCAATGGGTAACCTGTGGCTCAACAGGTCAAGTTGTGCATTGTGCAGCAACCAGACAGATTCACAAAACTCATGCCTTGAAATGCTCATTTCTGAATGAAAGATCGGAAAAGAAAACAATCTACCAAGAACTAGAAGTGGCCCAAGTATCTTCTTTCCGAGAGTTGTGCATCCTTCCCAAGAAGGGCAAGGAAACGACCAGAGTGCGACAAGCTGAGTACAACAATGAGGATTGAGAGATTACGGTAACCATACCTGTGGCGGTCCCACATTAGCATACATGGGGTATGTTTTGTTTAGGAGGGGTAGGATGGAGTCCACAACTTCATCCATGATTGGTCGATAGTCTGGCTCTGCCTGAATGCACATGGCGGCTATGGCAGCAACATGGTACAGTGCCTGCGGAGGGAACATGCCTTGCAGAACAGGATCCACCATCTTCAACAACTTCTCTCTATTGTTCAAGTGTGGGCCAGCCTAGTAGCAAAAGGAAGGCAAAGCAAGAAGCAGAAAAGAGGTTAGAAGATAAGAATACTGTGGAGAAGAGAGAAAAGGAGGACAAAAGGGAGGAGGGTAGAAAAGGGGAGAGGAGGAGAGAGTAGAGGAGAGAGGAGAGGAGGGAATAGGAGGAGAGACAGGAGAAGATAGGGGAGAAGAGGAGAGAAGAGAGGAGGAGAGAGGAGAGGAGGAAAGAGGAGGAGAGAGGAGAGGAGGCAAGAGGAGGAGAGAGGAGAGGAGGGGAGAGGAGGGGAGAGGAGGGGAGAGGAGAGGAGGGGAGAGGAAGGGCACGGCGGGAGAGGAGGGGAGAGGAGGGGAGAGGGGAAAGGAGGGGAGAGGAGGAGAGAGAATGGGAGGGCGGAGGAAGGAAAAGGAGAGGAGAGGAGAGAAGAGGAGGGGAGAGGAGAGGAGACGAGGCGAGAGTAGACAAGAACAGGCGAGAGGAAGAAGGGCAGAACAGAGGGGACACGTCGAAGGAAAGAAGATGCAAGACGACCAGGGAGGCAGTTGAAACAGAATTAAAACATGGCATTCAGAGGAATTTCAGACTCGTACAGATTGCTGTTCTACTGTGGATCAAGGTCAGGGTTTCTTTGCGTGAGTCTGTTCATATCACATCCGTCCATTGTGTGCAGTGAGATGTCTCAATGTTGCATCACCTGCAGCTGCAATTTTCCCACCCAACTCACCCATCTTGCATGTAATTGAGATTGTGATCACACAATCAGCGGCAGGTTACTAGGGGGTGGCACTCTTATCGCCCCACCTAGTAAGCGAGGCTTCGTTAAAAAAAAATAAAATAAAAAAAATTGTGATCACACATTTGGCAACCTTTCAAAATCAGATAGGAGTCAGAAGGGAAACTCTCAAGTGGAGACGGTGGCCTTCCATGCCCGACTGTTTGCTGCTGGTTAAGCGGTCATAGGGGAGACTAGAAGAACATCTTAAAAACAAAACAGTATGCTACGGTAATAAAAAAGTGAAAGCAATAGAGCAGAAGGGACAGCAGCAGCCACGAGTCCCGCAGGTACTATCACTTCTGGTGTCTAGTCATGTAGGCAGCCACTTTGAGTCGCAGAATAGGTCTGCTTGCCCGGCATGTCATACTGTAGAAAACATCTGCAGCCTACTGTCAGATACCTAAATGTCTGTACAAACATTCATCTGTAACAGTGGGGACGCTGGACCCCAGGGAATGCTAGGGGTGTCTGCTCTTATCAGCACCCCCTACTAGCACTTCCGCGGGTGTCTTCCTTTTTTTTTTTAAGGAAAAAAAAATACAGCTGCCTTCTCCTCATATGGGGGACAGTTGTATTTTTTCTTACCCTATTATCTTCTCTCGATGTGTCTTACACTAGCTACTCATATCTATGCCCTACCCGCAATCCTACGGAAAAGCCTGGAATAATCAGCTGAGCTGGGGTTATGGGTCTAACGCCTACCAATCTCTGCTCTGTGCGGGGAGCAGTACCCAAGCTCCTAACACCTAGCACGGGCTGGGAAGACCAATCACCACTTCACAACCAGCCCGGAGGCCCAAGCCAAATATCTCCGCTGGTGAAGCCGAAGCCTATCACAGGAGGTCGTGGGGGATTGAATGGACGACGTGTGGAATCGAACCCACGACCTCCTGAATACCACTGACGTGCTCAAACCAACTGAGCTAGCCCGCTTGGGCTGCGGGTGTCTTCCTTTATTAAAAAAATAATAATAAAAAAAAAATTAAAAAAACTAACTAAAGACTCTAGTAAAGAGCACGATAGCAATGTGTCGAATAGCATTTTTGTCTAGTTGTTGGGACCCACCCGGTAGTTTGTGTGGGAATAGAGTTCAATAGACTCAATAGAGTAGTTAGAACAGCATTGCTTTAGCCTTAGCATTGGATTCAGACTATAGCATGCGCTCGTCTGTCATAAGTTAATAATAACTATAGATAGCAAGCGGACAAAGGTCTCTGATGCCTTAGGGTTCGCATTTGAATCGTTCAGAAACCTGTGCTGTCTTCAGGGATTAGGAACTCGACAATTCCTATTGATCTTTACTATTCTTTAGAGTGATCCTGTACTTCAAATTTTCAGTGTCTTTCTGTTCCCAGAACTGAAACTGAAACGCTATGGTCAGTTCGTTCTTTCTGTTCCGTTGAAGGATTAATCGCTCACCGAGTCTCCACGCGCTATAACTCTAACCGATAGCCCTTTTTTCAATTCTGCCATGGAAATGTGAAATAGATGCAATGTCCCAAAAGGGACATCTTAAGTGATACGCTGCGGCTGCTGCCACTCCTGCCACTCCTGCTATTGCGAATACTGCTGCTTCTGCTGCTGCTGCTGCTGTTGGCACAGCCACTACCGCCGGCGCTACTCCGCCGCCACTACTGTAGTATCCGTAGTAGCATTAATAGCATAAGTAGCCACAGTGGTGGATGTCGCAGCCGTCATTGCAGTAGCGGTAGTTGCAACAGTAGTACTAGTAGTGGTTGTGGTGGTGGAGATATTTGTGGTCATTTGCAGTTCTAACAGTAGCCGTATAGTACCCAAGGGACTAGCTCAGTGGGTACACCCATGAACTGTTGAAATACAGACCAGGTGCTGTGTTCGAATCCAGATGATGGAACTGGATGTGAGGACCCCGGCCTCAATCTTATTATTGGTAATATCAGCCTTGGGCACCGGGCCCGGTTATTAAAAAAAAAAGTCAGATTAAAAGAAAAATCAGTGGATGGCAATCAGTGGACTGGTTGGCAGACCGCCGACCGGTCGGCCCTACCGGTAGGCTGCAAAACGGTCGGAGGGTATGCAATCCTGATGAAAAAAAAAAAAAAAAAAAAAACAGCCACAAATGAATTGCCTGGGGCCAGTCAGCTCAATGATAATATCTCAAGGCCATCGCCCTTTTATAAAATTAAAAAAAAACAGTAGTCGTATAGTAGCAGCAGTGTTGTAGCAGCACTTGTAATTTACAGGCAACAGTAGTGTTGGGGCAGCAGCACTGGTGGCAGTAGGAGCAGCAACAGCAGCAGTAGGAGCAGCAGCAGCAATAGTACCAGCAGTAGCCTGTGTAGTAGCCGTAGCCGTGGCAGTGGTGGTTGTGGTACTTGTCGTATCTTTGCAGCAGCCGTTGGCCCGTAGCAGTGGCAGTCGTGGTTGTTGTAGTTGTGGTATCCTTCTTTTTGTCTCCATCGCAACTTTTTTATCCATTTCTGAGCCGTCGACATCTTGGATGCGACAAGTCATTTTGTGGTCGCGTTTGCTCTTCCATTTTCTCCTGTCGTTGGGGTTACAAAGCTTCTCGACAAAAAAAAAAAAGAAAAAAAAAAAAAAAGAAAAAAAAAAAAAAATTCTTCTCCAAATCCTGGTTGCCGTGCTGACGTGGCGAACAAAAGAACTTTGTGATCGTGAAAACGAAGGCCGCAAAAAAAAAAAGAAAAAAAAAAAAAAAGAAAAAAAAAAAAAAGAAAGTCAATATGGAATGTATGGAGCATACCCAAGCAATGAGGCTTTGTTGCCCCTGTGGTTGTGACATATCCACAGGCTTCCTGCCGGTAACCAACTCCAGAAGAACAACTCCAAAGCTATACACATCGCTTTTTTCGCTGACGCATCCAGTCATAACATACCTGCCACCAACAGGCCTTAACTCAGTTGGTACACCCATGAACTGTTTGAAGTACAGACCCATGTTCGAATCCAGATGCATTCGGATTAACAAAATAGCATTCTTATGAATTACCTAGAAGGGAAAAAAAAAAAAAAAAAAAAAAAACAGAAAAAGAAGAAAAAACATGCCAGCGAAGCTGACAAGAGGCAGCACATACTTTTTTTTTTTTTTTTTTGTAGAGGCAGCACAACTTCGAAACTCCTTGATAAAGACAAGTTTGATGACTACCCTCTTCCCCTGAATACATCACATCACTCATATGGTAATTATAGCTGTATCTGGGGTATCTTTCACTCTAAATACAGCTAAAATGACCGTACGTCTAGGCTTCATTTCCGTGCGCTCGGGTACCCCCGACACGCACGGATCCTTGCACAGCCGCACGACCGTGCGGCCCCAGCGCGGTGTGCTTTGGGGGCAATTTTGGGGATGCCGGGCCCAGTTTCAGCACTGCGCGGATTTTTTAAGGCCCCCCTGCACATCGAATTTTTTTTTTGGCATGCGGGGAGGCCTTAAAATTTTCAATCTTGGACTCGAGATCTCAGTTCCGTCTTTCTTGTCCGTTTCCCTCATACCTCCGTCGTATCTACTACCTCCCCGTTCCCCTACTTATTTTTTCACCTCTTCTTCTCTTATCTGATCTGTGGCTCTCGTCTTTTCTATCTACCTCTCCCGCATAACCGCCAACCTTCTGCGACTCTACCTGTGTCTTGCACCTATTCTTCCCTGACTTCTTCTTTTCCTCCTCCCGCCTCATACCTGTTCCCTGCCTGCCTTTCTAACACATCTCCCCTCTACCCTCTGAGGTGTGTAAGAAAGGCAGGCAGGGAACAGGTATGGAGCGGGAGGAGGTCAGAGGGTAGAGGGGAGGTGTGTAAGAAAGGGAGGCAGGGAACAGGTATGGAGCGGGAGGAGGAAAAGAAGAAGTCAGGGAAGAATAGGTGTGAGACACAGGTAGAGTCGCAGAAGGTTGGCGGTTATGAGGGAGAGGTAGATAGAAAAGACTGCGTTTGCTGCGGTTTCAATGGAGTACTTGGCTCGATCTTCTAGAGGCGATATGTTTCGAGGTAACCTCATTAGACTAGTATTTAAGAATCGCTGGTTTACCTGCTCGCAAGCGCATTTAGCCCCTGATGATGGCCATTTTGGCGAGGTGGCCGAAACATGTCGGGTTTTTCGCCGACCTCGCTCCTGCTGTATTTCTGATTTTATCTATTGAGCGACCCCTTACGAACGAATCAGGGGAAAAAGTGCGGCAGGGGGGCAGAGTAGTGGAGGGAACACACACCTACAAGTGGAAAAGGGCCAAAAAAGCCAGTGGAGGATAGTGGATCCGGAAGAGGGGAAAGGTGGGGGTAAAGAAGTAAAAGGACTCGATATGGAGATGCAAGAGGGGAAGGAAGGAGGGGAGGTGTTGACCGAGGAAGAACGGAGAGGGACTGAGCCCCCCCTCAGGCTAGGGCCAACTACGGGGAAGGAACAAGGAGGGGAGAAAGGAGAGAGGCAGGCCGAAAACCACTCTTGCCCGGAAAGGAATCACTCCCCCCCATCATGGGTCAGCAAAGGGAGAAGCACCTTGCAGAACAGAACGCTTTGTGTGAAAAGACCGACTGAAGATGGACAAACGAATGAGCTGCACGTTCCACTCTGGAACTTATCCCCGGCCCGTGGAGAGGAGGCTGGTAGTCAAGAGCCCCCACCTCCGCAAGAAGGAAGGGAAGGAAGGGAACAAACAGATATTTTTGAGGAGGCCTTTGGGCTAGCCCCGATGGAGGTGGGGGAGGGTTCCTCCCCCCCGGACATAGAGATGAAGGAAGCAGACAAGGACGACGAAGAAAAAGGAGATACCCAGATCCCGGTGGAGGACAAATAGATGAAAGTGGCTCACTGGCTCTATCAACATCTGCAGGACAGATATCCGGGACATGGGGAAGACTTCTGAGACTATACATACAGGGAGCTGGTCCCATTATTGGAGAATAGTGCCACACTTAAAAAGACCCTCGAGCACGGCCTACCTGAAAGTGCCAATTGGTCCAACATCTGTCACCGTCTGCTGACAATAGTATTGGCTCGCTTTCGCCCCCATACATTAGAGAAACCCAAGACGGAACAAGAGGAGGCCAGCGACCTGGTATCCACATAGGAAACTGCCCAACAGCAGTCAGGGGGAACACAACCATCGGTGGGCATGACAAAAAGTTCAGAGGGGGGCCCGGGGGGGCAGGGGTCTGAAGTGACTAGTGCTGAAAATAATGAAGAGACAGATGTGTCCAAGGTGAACGAACAACAAGGGGACCTTGTTCTACAATCCCCCCCCCCCCTTTTGGAAGCATCGCCGGAGCCCCCGGACCCCCAGGGAGGGGAGCTGGTTAGCAAAAGGCAAAAAATGCGCCACCTATTAGAGAATGGTTTTGCCCCACCCTCCCCCTTTCGGGGGAAGATCCTGGTGTACCCATCCGGGAGAAGGAAGGGAAATGGGAGGTAGGTGTGAATGAGCGCCCCCATGCCAGGCACGGGGAAATCACCTTACAGGGACGGTCCTCAGTGCTTCCCCTCTGGTCCCCAGCTGGCGAAGGATTGCTCAAAATAGACCCGCAAACCTATGTGCAAAAAAACCTTCAGGTGGGAGCGGTGGCCACGAGAATCGCATCATACGAACAACAAAATATTGCAGAAAGAACTGCGTACATCCTTTGTGACCCTAACAAGGAGGTGGGGCTGAAATGGGTAACCAGGAATTCGCTGCTTGATCTGCAGCTTCTTAAAATCAGACCAAGCAACACCTTGCTAGGGGAGGAAGTGCGGGATATCTTCATTGGACTCCTCCGAGAGGGACCCCTCTCAAGGTCAGAGGAATGGAACGCGATAGACTGTGTGCGTCTTTAGGGTCATTACGGTCTTAATTGGTTAACAAGAGAATGAAAATGGATTTTATTAGGGCCTTGTATGGTAGGGATAAAAATTGGGCAAAAGGGAAGAGAGAGGCTGATCTTGACCTGCGATCTCTTAATGTAAATGGCCTTGCATCAGCCTCTCCATCAAAGAAACAAGCCATCTAGGACCTGATCAGGGGGGTGGAGGGTAGGGACTGGCCGGGCGCAATCTGTTTCGTCCAAGAAACCCACCTGATGGACTCCGCGGAACATCATCGAGCACACAAAGAAGTATGGCCCTACCAGGTCTTTCGAGCTTGCGCTCCGCGCCCGAGGAGTGTTGGGGTGGCCATTTGGTTACCCCCGGACTCACGCATTGACCCACTCAATTGGGTCGTGGATCAGGAGGAAGGAAGATGGGTGTATGTTCTGGCGATGTTAGAACTAGAGGAGGTGGCTATCTTTTGCATCTATGCCCCGAATGAGGCGGGAGTCAGAGTCGTTTTTTTTTAGTCCATTAAGGAGCGTGTCCCGCAGGGTATCCCGATCATATTGGCAGAAGATTTTAACGCGGCCCCGGATCGGCGGCTAGACAGATGGAAAATTTTGTCCCCATGCCCAGTATATATCAAAATGGATGAACACACCATATCAGACCTCTATATGTCGTTAGCAGTATATCACACCTATCGCAGATCTCACCCCACAAAACACACGTTCTCCTGCTTCAGGAAAAATGGGCCACAAAGGATCTCTAGATTGCGCATCGACCTGATCCTTGCTTCGGAAGATTTAGAAGGGGCATTGCAAATTGTTGAAATCTTCCCACAGAGCCCGTATCCTGGGCTGGACCACGTGATGTGTGTCACTATCTTTTCGTTTCGCAAACGGTCGGATCAAGGGTCTGACTATTACAAACTAAACACATCGTTATTGCCAGTTCCAATGTTCCAAACACATATCAAAGTAACATAGGCACATTGGCAAACACATCGGCAGACCCTCTGCGATGGCGTTCTATGGTTTAACAATGAGCTGTTTTTTTGGCCAGAAAATGTGGCGAATTCTCAAGAGTTCTAGAAGCCAAGCGGCATTTTGGTGAAATGGCACTACAATATTAGTTAAACCAATTAAAACAGCAGGAAGAAAACGCGAATCAGGAGTCTGAGGAACTTTCCAAAGCGATTCAGTTGATGGAGACTCGACTGGTAGCCTGCGTGGAACACCGGTGGCAAGGTGCTTGCATTAGGGGAAAAATACGAAAGCATCAAACAAAAGGATCAATGGACTCCCGTTTTTCTTCCATGGCAAGGGCAAGAACCGGGAGAACCATTATTGAGGCTCTGGACGATCCAACGCAGGAACGGGCTTAGCTGGCCACTACCACCCCGCAGTGCGCGCACATTGCTCGAGGTTTCTTTCAAAAACTCTTCACATCAGAGTGCAAAAGTCGCCCAAAAGAGCAAAGAGAAAAATAAATCGACGATTTCCTCGCACCCTTGCAGAGTAGTCTGTCGGAGGAACAAAAGGAAAAGCTAGAGATAGCCTTGGAAAAATCTGAAATATGGACAACCCTCATGCAAATGGAGGAAGAAAAGACCCCGGGCATTGATGGGCTACCAAAAGAATTTTGGGAATCTATATGGAACCCTCTGTCCCCGGACCTGATGAACTACTACCGAGCCATTTGGGAGTCAGGGCAAATGGGGGAAGTGGTGGGGCAAGGGGTGCTATCTCTCTTGTACAAGAAAGGTGATAAGACGAATATTCGAAACTACCGGCCTATTACCCTACTGACAGTGGTATACAAAATGGTGGCCAAGCCCTTGGCAAACCGCATGATCTTGATAATGGAAGATATTATCCACCCAGCGCAAACTGGTTTTATAAAAGGCAGAGAAATACAAGATAATGGCCTCCTAATAAACGAGGTGATCAAATTGTCACGACGGTCTAAGCACAATGCGGCGATAATCTTTATTGACTTTGAAAAAGCCTATGATCCCGTTGATTGGTTCTTCCTTGATAAGTGCCTGGAGAAATTAAACTTTGCCCCTTGTTTTAGGAGGTGGGTGGGGATTCT